AAATCTTTTAAAATTTACACTCTTCTTTCCCCCACAATAACCCCTCTTTTGTTCTCTGCTTCCTATTTATGGTCATGTGATAATTAGAAGCTGGAATTACTTTAACCTCACACCACTTCGCTGCAGCCAATAAGCCTGTGCAGTGCAGTCATTAGAAGAAATTGGACACTGTAATAGAAGGGAAATAGGAATAAAAGATGAGATTGAGGACTGCCACAGCCCCCAAGTTAACTGCACCTCTGACCTCTTCATAGCCTCCTTGAGAGCACCCCACATATATTTCAGGCCTCTGCTAATCATCATGCTTGGAGTGGGATCCTGCAGTCTCCTGCAATTCAATGTAATCACCTCAGCAGGCCGTCTTTTAGTTCAGCACCTGCAATCCTATTCTCCTATGGGCAGTGACAGGGTTAATCAGTGACCAGCTAGCTTTCATAAAGCAAAGTACTATTTATTTAGACTGCTGAGGAAATATAGTTTAAAAACAATGAACAGCTTCTATGCATGTCTAGCTTAGCGGGTATCACCCAGCTTCTACATGGTTACCTTGGCAGGTTTCAAAGTACTTCAAGCCCTCTCGCAGGGCTTATCCCTCTTGGTCACAGTCTCATGTCATTTCTTGGATCAGAGGAGAGTGACCTCTCTCCCTCTGTCAGGGTGATCACTTTATACAGTTTTCAGTTCTTTTCCAGGCCTCCAGGTCAAATTATATATACAACTTCCCTAGACTTCTCCTGACCTGTTACCTACCTAGGAATTTTAGTTCCTGCAGAAAACCCTGTAAATCCTCCATGGAGCCAGAGTACAATCCCTCACCCACAATGAGACATACAATCAGGGCTGATGCAACCCATTAGGTGACCTAGGTGGTCATCTAGGGTGCTACAATTTGGGGGGCGGCGACCGCGGCAGTATTTTGGCGGTGGGACCTTCCGCCGCCTCTGTGGGGGGTGGCATTTTGGGGCAGGACTTTCTGCCGCCTAAGGCGGCAGAAAAGCTGGCGGCACTCCTGCATCTAACACTTATAAAGCTGATGCAATAGTCTTTGATATTCCTTGTGTCTATAGCATCTGTCATAAGGACACAACTGTTTATCCAAAATATCCCACAATGTAATCAGGAATTGGAAAATTTGTGGAGGTTGGATAAACATGATAGCAAATGTTGATCTTCTTTGGAAAATTCTGGGGTAAAATCCTGGTTCTATTGAAATCAATGGGAGTTTTACCATTGACTCTACTGGAGTCAGGATTTTGTGTTAATTCTGAAAGACCACAGGAATTGCCAGACTGCATCAGAGCCAAGATCTATCTATTCCACTGTCCAGTCTCCAACAGTGGCCTGTAACAGATTCTTCAAAGGAAAGTGCAAGAAACCCTGCAGAATACCTGTATGGGATAACCTGTCTGTAGCAAAAGTTTCCTCCTAATTCCCATTAGTTAAAGCATGAGGCATTATATTAATAGATTGTATTTTGTTAGTGGTATAGTTAAAATGCTAATTTTCTAGCCAGAAATGACTGACTGGTGAGAATTTGAATCATAGGAATTATGAGTTGTTAAGTCATCTGACACACCTGACAGCTGGGAATTTTGACCAAATAGAAGCCTTTGTTAACAACCGTTTCCTAAATTCTGCTAAAATTATAGATCATGAACATTTAAGAACACACATTTTTAGAAAGCTATAGAAATCTCCCAAAATATCTGCTTACAATTTCTTAATTGGCCTAAAGTTGCCAGCATGGCTGAACTGTGGTGGTGTTCCATATAATTATGGCCTTGATCCAGCAAAGCACTTAAGCATGTGTGCCCTGAATGTCATGTGATTAAAGTTATGCACATGTTTAAGGGTTTTTTTTTAAAGCAATACTCACTGAAAGTAACTTAATGTCTCTGTTCCTGAATGTGGAATTTCAAAGATCAGTCTTTATCTTTCAAAATTCAGTTTTCCTGAGGGTGGGGAAGTATAAATGATTTAAAGGTCGTTTTCCTGTCTCGATTATACAAACTATAATAAAATGAGATGAATTGTCCCCAGATGACTGCTTTACATGAAATACTTTCCACTGTTCTAGGGCAAGTTTTTATTGGTTTAGAGTTCAATTGACAAAGTTTTGTATTTATATAACAGCCAAGCATAGCTGGAATTATGTTGATAGATTTTTTTTTCTTTTTGGCAAATGTTAATTTGTCTCATAGCCCCGTAAAAACCCACAAAAGGATATTTAATGTAAGATGGCCAGGCCAGTATAAAACATGGTGAGGGGCCTTGCAACATATTCTATCCCATTCTGTTCTCTTCAGAAGAGTCACTATGAATCTAAGAAAGCATCCGACGAAGTGGGTATTCATCCATGAAAGCTCATGCTCCAATACGTCTGTTAGTCTATAAGGTGCCACAGGACTCTTTGCTGCTTTTACAGATCCAGACTAACACGGCTACCCCTCTGATACTATGAATCTAAGGACTTTTCAGTACAGCATTTGCTGACATGGTTAGCATGTGTCACATGTTCTTTCCTTCTGACTCTTTGCAGTGGGGGGGGGGGGACGCATGTGGGTTTGTTTTGTTGTGAATGTTTATTATTATGTATATTTGATGTGCTATGTTTTTGTATTGGTGATGGTAAAGTCAAAAAGTGAACCTTGCCCTTGGAATGGAAATGGACTCTGTGTGAGGTGGTTCTTTAGTCCTGTGAAAGTCCTTCTGTGGCCATTGGGCACCTCCCAGCAAAGCATTGCCAAGATCCTCAAATTTTTAGGCTGGAAAATTCATCTTGCACTGACACTTTCAGGCTTTAGAATTTTCAGGAGGAAGAATTTCTTTCCTGGCCCTAAATCATTTTGGTTTAAGCTGTCTGCCTTGAATTCAAAGGCCAGCCTCAATATCTGAATGTACAGGACGCTTGTGCTATGTGCTTGTTATTATCAGCTGTTAACACAATGGGGCCCCATTTTTCCTGGGTGGGGTGTCTCTGGGTGCTAATACAAGCGTTACCACTACTAATTGAATGGTTAGACAGAACTCTGTTTCCCCTCATGAACTAGGTTGAAATTGTCTCCTTTCTTAACATTTCATTGATCATTTTCCTTTTCCATTTCATCTGTTTCCGTGTTAATCCTCCTTTTGATGTATTAACTTAGTACATGGCACCCTGCAGTTAGCCATTAGAAGAGAGGCACCCTCTATCTTTTCTTATCTATCTTTTCTCTGTTGACTCAGGTCTCTGCTCTTCTAAAAGCCTCCTGTGCCTTCATCCAGAAGGGAAAGGTGCCGCTGGGTTTTACCGGGGTGCATTGTTTCATTGGCAGCGCCGCTGGGAGCTAATACCCCCCTCCCCCCTCAAGCCGGACCTGCTGCAGCGCTCTCCGAGGGGCTCTCTGATGTGCTAAGCCGCAGTAACACGTGTCTGGCTTCAGCACACTGGAGAGCTCCCCTTCCTAGCCGGCTCCCGGGGCCGAGCGGTGCTGCAGCCCGGTGCCTGCAGCATCACCTCCCCCTGGCGCAACAGTTTATACCCGAGTCACACTCCTGGGAACTGCCCCGGGGTTAGCCCCCCCGAGGGGCGCGGCAATGCTGGCACCGCACCCCTCTTCTCCGCCCTGAGCGCGGGGCGCTGGGCAGGGAGCCTGCGGGCCTGGAGCCCGGCTGAGTTTTGCTGGACTCTGCCGGCTTGCGAAGGAGTTGGGGACTGGGCACAGCCCAGCCGCCAATGACCGACCCCCTTCACACTGAGAGAAGAGGGGAGGGAGGCGCTGGGGCACGCGAATAAAGCCAATTCCTGGCTCTGAAACACTTCCCAGCAGCGCATCATCCTGCTCGATCGCAGGCGCTGGGTTCACACTATGGGCAGGCGGGGAGGGGGGGAGCCAATGATTCCGGGGCCTGCTCCGTTTCCCATGGCACTTAATTAAACAGGCGGCCAGGTTACCTGACTAAAGGTAGGAAAAGCCTCAAGGGGCTGAAAAATTCCCTTCCCGCCGCCTTTGTTAATGGTCGATCTCACTCGCTTTGCTTTCCCCTCGTGCCCTGCCAATGGGGCTCTATTTGCACGTGTGTCTGGGGATCAGTGTGTCGCTAGTGGCGAGGCTCATTTAGATCTTCCTCCAGGTGTCTTTAAAACTTTATTCTCCGGTGGCTGGGGATTTTTCACACGCCTCTGTGGAGAGAGAGAGAGAGAGAGAGAGAGGTCGTACCCTTAAGTT